TTTTTGAGGAGGGGTATCCGGGATTGAACTCAGGGGCACTTGACCCCTGAGCCACATCCCCAGCCCTATTTTGTAATTTATTTAGAGACAGGGTCTCACTGAGTTGCTTAGCATCTCGCTTTTGCCTAGCTTTTGCTGAGGCTGGCTTTGAACTTGCGATCCTCCTATCTCAGACTTCCTAGCCACTGAGATTACAGGCGTGCCCCCAGCGCCCGGCTCCCATAAAATTTTAAAGCATGGTTTCTGTTTCCTTTAAGTTATGCACCCTGGAAGTCTATAAGGAAAGTATGCAGATTCATACTTCTTACCTGCTTTTTGAGGTCTTCAATGACTGACAGGTATCTGCTGCAGTCATGATCAAGTCCCCGACAACAGCCAGGCCCATACTTCTCATACCAGCTCTCGATCTTCTGCTCTAGGTCTGCGTTCGCCTGCTCCAGAGCGTGCACGTGGTCCAGGTAAGAGGCCAGGCGGTCGTTGAGGTTCTGCATGGTCACCTTCTCGTTCCCAGAGAGAAGGCTGCACTCATTTCCAAGAAAACCAGTGCTAACGTGGCTTCCAGACCCTCCACCACCGTTGCAGAAGCTTCCTCCAGAAGAAACGCCCCCAAGCGTACCAGAAAAGCTGCTTCCTGCTCCCGAGGACCCAGCACACACGTTGTCAGCCACAAAGCTCGCCTCTCCACGGGACAGCCTGACAGAACCAGCTCGCGAGCAGGACCGCCTGGATCCGCTAGACAATCGGAAAGACATGGCGACTGCACAGCCCAGCGACCCTTTCCCAGAGAGGAGCAAAGCTAGAGTCCACCTTCCTCAGAGGGTGGCTCCAGTGGCCTTTTATAGGATTCAGTGGTCATTTCGATCTCACCTAGGCCGATCTGTAATAAAATATAACTCGCATCCTAATTGCTGTTTTCCCTAACTGGGCTATTTTTAATAGTGTCTAGTGGGTGGCAAGCTGCCGCAAGCATATTTTTTATATGGAAAAAAGGTGCCAGGTGGAGTGACACTAAATCATAGCTTCCAAGGGTTAGTAATACTAAATCACAGCTTCATAGATCACAGAAAAGAAAATCATCAGTTCTTTTCCAAAAGGTATAAAGGGACATGTTTTTGACCTCTGGAATAGATTCCCCCCTCCCATCTAACAAAAATTGGTGATTCAAATGAGAAATGTCTACTGCTCTTGTCCTGCAAATGCATATGAAGTATCTCTGTTATTCACTCTTTATTGAGTGTTGTTGGAATCAGAGACTCTCAGCATATAGTGATCTTTTGATAGTGGGAGTTTTTGAATTGATTTAAAAAAATATTGAAAAGATGGAATAATAGAAATCCTATAGTAATTTGCTTGTCAGTCACACTGAAATTCACGAGTACGTAATATTGGAAAAGAATTATTTGAATTACCTTTTTTTTTTTTTTGGTTTGGTCCAGGAGTAGAACATCAATTCAGTTAGCTTCTGAGTTTCCAAATTATTAACTTCCCTGCCTTAAAAATATCGCTTATTGTCTTTTAGTTCAAACTTATGTATTCAAAATTTTATGCATTATTTGGAGACATGAGCTTCCTGTAGATCTGCAGGGAAGGAAATACATGAAGGAGAGGGGTGTTTCCATCACTACCTAGGAGCCCCATAATCACAGCATGCAGATCTGAGATGAGTTCCATAGGGAAGCAGGCGCTTTCTTCTTTGCCTTGATGTCCTTGGGAAGTTAGCCACTCTTCTTGGGCTTCATTGCCCTGGGAGGCAAATGAAAATAATAGCATTGAACAGTCTCAAATGAAGACTCCAATAATGAGCAGCTCCAATAACGAATGTCTATAAGACAGTCTGAAGGGCACAGACATTTTGCAAATGTTAATTATATTATTATAATAAAACAGACATGTCAACAGGGTCAGGTCTCTATCACTGACAATGTTACAAATTGATTGCTTGACTGATGACAGGCTTAGTTTTGAAATAGTAATTTATTTCCTGAATCAGAGTTTTCAATGTTGTGAATATTGAATACTTTGAAAAATATCCAATGTTACTGTCACTAAAAGATACGGAATATTCAATGGACTGGGATGCATGAATTTTTCTTTTTTTGGGGGGGGTACCAGGGATTGAGCCTAGGGATGCTTAAATATTTATTGAGTCACATCCCCAGCCCTTTTAAATATTTTATTGAGAAACAGGGTCTTGCTGAGTTGCTTGGGGCCTCGCTAAGTTACTGAGGCTGGCTTTGAACTCAGGAGTCTCCTGCTTTAGCCTCCCGAGCCACTATGCCTGGCCATGAATTTATTTTTACTACAAATGTCTAAATTAATACAAGACTATAATTCAAACTACTGGCTTATGTTTAGAATAGTGTATGATAGGAGATAGAGCTTAAGTTCAGAGACTTATTGCTGATTTTCTTGTGGCCTGGTCAAATTTTAAAACTTTTGCCCATGTTTCCCAGGAATAAAAATCATGACAAACAGAGTCTGTTGTCAGTGTAGTAGTTTAAAAGGCTTGAGCTTCTTCGATAAGAGGTGTTATGGGATTGCAAAGTATTATTAACGTAATCTATTTATCTCAGGATAATTTACAGATACTAATTAACTTATCATCTTTTGTGAGACAAGTTAAGCATATATTATTAAGGCCATTTTGGAGATGAGTCGACTCTGAATCTACCATGGCAGCAGAGATCACAGAACACCCTCCATCACAGCAGGGTTGGAATGAATGGCTCTTAACTCCTTGATGGGTTGTTGCTATTTACTCATTCGGCAATTTTTTTGAATTCTTTTGATCATAGACTTCCTCTAAGCAAATACTCCCTTGAAGGGTAGAGGATAGATTGAACCAATTCCCTGGGCCACTTTTATCTATATATATAGTTTTTTCCCCTGAGAGTGGACATTTTTTCATGGTAAGAAACCAGCATCCAGCAACAGATCATCATCATTTCTTGAAACTCTACTAGGTAATACAGTATTACATAATAGGCATATCATAGGTGCTCAAAGTGATTGAGTTGAATTCACCTGTAAGTTATGCTGTTAATGTCTCTTTATTTCCAAATTAAACTTTTCATTATGTTATCTTACTGTAATGATCATAGGCCAATTTCTCTCTTGATAAATTTATTTAGCTTTAAGTATGCTGTTGTTTAAATTTTACATTTTACATGCCTGTTAATTAAGTTTAGTATAGCATTTTTCTTGAACATGAATGAAGTTTCTTTTGATACTAGAGTCCTTGTGTTTTTCTGAGAATCATATTCTAGTGTCCTAATGGCTCTCCTGGTTTGGGAAGAATTGATAATAATTGATAAAGCAGTATTTACCGCGTGTGAGACACTGTTCCAAACATCATTTAATCCTCACAGTATCCCTATGAGGTAAAGACTATGATCATCCTCATTCTACAGGTAAGGAAATACCTCCAGTTACTAGCTCTGTGACCCTGGACAAATTACTCAACCATTCTCTGCCTCAGTTTCCTTACCCATAGAATTCTCCCAATTCTTTCTCCCAACTTGATGCTAGTAGAGCTTATTCTCTGGATTATGATGAGTTGGTGGTCAGACATCTCAAATACTAAAGAAATCTGAGCTAATTACTTAAAATTAAAAATAAAATTATGAAGACAAAATTTTTAGAACCTTTTTAGGTTCACAGCAAAATTGAGAGGAAGATACAGAGATTTCCCATATACTCCCTGCCCCCACTCATGCACCCTCCTTCCTTGTCTACATTCCACACCAAGGAGGTAATACATTTATTCCAATCGTGAACATACATTGATTGACACATCATAATCACCCAGAGTCCAGAGTTTACACTGGATGCACTCCTGAGGTTTTACATCCTGTGAACTCGGAAAATTATATAATGACATATGTCTCTTCTATGGTACTATACAGAGTATTTTCACTTTCCTAAAAATCCCCTTACTCCACCTATTTATCCCCTACCCCACCACACCTAACCCCACCTCCACCTAAATCCTGACTACCAAGGATCTGTTTACTGTCTCCATAGTTTTGCTTTTTCTAGAATGTCATATTGTTGTAATCATACAGTACATAACCTTTTCTGATTGTCTTCATTTAATAATATAGATTTAAATTTCCTCTGTCTCTTTTCATGATCATCTAGATAGCTCATTTATATTTAGCATTGAATAAAATTTTATGGTCTGGATCTACCACAGTTTCTCTACTCATCTACTGAATGACATCTTGGTTGCATCCAAGTTTTGGAAATTAATAAATAAATCCATTATTTATTTATTAATTTATTTATTAATCCATTTTCTGGTTCTCAGGACCTGAGAAGCAGGTTGTTTCTGCTGCATGTCAACGTGTGGGAGACAAATTCTCTCACTCAAATAAACCTATGAAGATTTTTCTGCTGAGTTTATACCTCCTGTGCCTTTGTGAGACCTTAGACTACAGGCTAGAGAATAGTTTCATTGATGATAAGTGCCAAATATCATTTCATTTACAATTAAATTTAATTTGAGAGACACATTGCTCTGCATCTTGGATGGGGAAAACTGGATAGAGTATTTTCACTGTCTTAAAAAAATCCCCTTACTCAACCTTATTTATCCCCTACCCCCACCACACCTAACCCCACCTCCACCTAAACCCTGGTAACCAAGGATCTGTTTACTGTTTCCGTTGTGAATGCCCAACCTCATGGTGGAGCGGTGGAGATTGTAAATTAAGACATCTACTGGAATCCACTTACACAGCCTCCCACCTCTCACTCTTTCCCCTTCTGCCTCCAAAACTAACCATGGAGAGCTGTTCCTTTATGTTTAGGATGTTTGTGATTCTTTAATTCCTTATTTCCACTTCCATGAGCATGTTGGACCAGGGTCTGGAGTTATTAAAATAGTTACTATTTTATGCTCGCTACCTGACACTTAGTGAGTGCTCAGTAATAGTTATTGAAGAATGGAAGGATGAAAAAGTGTTACGGAAATGGGAACAAGACTCCCACCAGTCTATATGTTAAACTTACTTCTAACTTGTGAAGACCAGTGCCTTAAACAGAAGAAATTAAAGACCAACATCAGTTCCCATGGGAGGGTATATTTAAAATGCAAAGATTGACCAGAACCAGGGCGGATGACTTGCAACAGGAAGAACTTTTATTGAAACACCACCAAAGAGAAAGCTGAAGACGAGTTACTACTCTACAGAGAGTCTGTCTTAATTCACTGGAGGAAAAGCAGAAAAATGAGAAGGCCCTCATTTAGGAAACGAGTTTCGACTTGGTCTTCTAATTTCAGGGCCATTCTTTTTTTTGGGGGGTGCTGGAGTTCACGAGGGCACCCTCTGTTCACTCTTGTTGTTGGGTTTAGTGGGTTTCTCTTCTATGGTGTGAACTCTGGATGAGAGAATTTTGCCACGAAGATCTAGTTCTTCGACGACTGTTTTCACGATGGCGGTTTTAGATGAATCTAAAAATGACATATATGAATTTATGAAATTCATAAATGGGAAATCACTCATCATTTAAAACATCCAAAAAAAATCTGAAGCCTTCACGCAGCTTTTGTTTACCTTTTATCTGATTTCCTGGTCCTCCGTGGCCTTTGGATTTGACACAAGATCTGTAAAAAATCGATTTTTGCATTCATTATTTTGCTCTAGGGTTTGCTAAGAAAACCGAAAGGCAAATATTTAAGGGCGGAGTTCACTGAATGCAGAAATAACACAAGAAAGGTGTTTATACTTGGATTTTAAATAATATTTAATAATATTAAATTGTCTTACTCATCATCTCCATCTATCAGGCGGCAGTAGGTCTCAATCTCCTTCTCCAGGTGGGCCTTGACGTCCATGAGCTGCTCATACTCCAGTTTCTGGCCCTCGGTCTCAGTCCTGACCTGGTGCAGCTGCTCCTCCAGGGCCCCGATCTGAGCTTGGATTTGTGCCAGCTGCGTGCAGTAGTTGCCCTCTGTCTCTGTCAAGGAGCACTCCAGGGAGTGTTTCTGTGGTTCGATGAGACAGTTTTATAGAAAATGTCACCATACTGTTCAGAATGAGCCAAGTCACTTAAGAGATACAGACAGAAATCCCTGCATAATGCAAATAATCAAAAAAAAAAATCCGTCTGTTCACTATTGTGAACAGATGCTATGGTATTTTTTTATATTTGTGAATGACATCACTGGTGGTGAATGTTACTCATAGGCCCAGCAGTATTAGAAAAAATGAAATTGTTTCTACCTAGTGCAGAGTCTAAAGAACCCTGATCGGGGCTGTGGCTATGGCTGTGGCTGTGGCTTAGCAGTAGTGCACTTGCCTGGCATGGCACCTCATATAAATAGATAAAAATAAAGGTCTATCAACTAAAAAAATAAGAACCCTGACCACACACCAATATGTTCCTTGCTTGTGGGGTCTGGCACTTTGCCATTTTCCCGAGAAGGTAAAAGTCCCCCTGCATTTTGACACCTCATTTCTAATCATGTGGCTGCCTCCTTTCATGTGGATTGCAGCTCTTCTATGAAAAAAACAATCCTACAGTCAATTGCATAAAGTTGTATAAGTAGAATGAACTAAAGAAAAGAATCATCCTTTTAAGTTTTGAGTCGTTTGAATTGTAAGTGTATGAATCCCAATGAGTTTACATAGATGCACTGAGGGAATACCTGCTGTAATTTTACACTGAAATGAAGACAGAAAAGTCTTACCCTTTTATATGCAAGAATTTTTGTATGATCCCTGATTTTGTATGTATTCATGGTTTCTTCTTTGAATAAACTCTGGAAGTTTCCTAGCCATAGTGGGAAAAGGATAGACTTGGGAGTTCGAAACTTTGAAGAGAAATTCTGATCCCTTTGTATCTGACTGTGGAACTCTGCGAATCACTTTTTTGAATCTCAGATTCTTCTTTTGTAAATAATGAAATGAATTATAAAGTCTGCCCCACCCAAGCCTCAGGATAATCGAGGGCTAACATGTGGGCAAAACTACTGGGCAAACCCTTAATGAAAAAGGTTATTATTATCATTATGCATGTTTAGCTTTAGAGTCAATCTTCCTGCCTGTACTTTGCTTCTTGTTTATGCCACTTAAAAAGAAACTTAAAAAGGAACTTAAGTGTTCTTAATTAGGTGGCCAAAAGGAATGCTAGGTAACGAAATCAGGAAAGGTGCTAACAGCTTTCCATACACAATGGTTTTGATCTTTTGACTTGGGAGAGCAGATTTCTGAACACCTCTAAATAACTGTATGTATTAATTTACAACGCTTCATGATTATTAGCATCTAAGTATAACTTCCAGGCAAAGAGACGTATCCTATGTAAAATGCAAACGTGCCTTATGTCTACACAGTCATTTGCGGATAAAAATTCAAGTAAGTAACGCGGGAAGAACGTTCTCCTTAGATTCTTCCCTCAATTTCTAAAGGAAATCCGTTTGTACTTGGGGACTCACCATCGCTAAGAGGGACTGCAGTTCAATCTCCAGGGTTTGAAGAGTACGTTTCAATTCCGTGAGTTCATTCCTAGCGGAGGTGGTGGCGCCAGCGTCGTCGGAAATCTGCTGCTGCAGCGAAGCGCTCTGCAACGTCAGGGGCTGGTGTCAGGGGACGTCCGCGTCCGCACCCAGCGCGGGTGAGCGCGTCCCGCGTGGCTTTACCTTCTCCTGGAACCAGGCCTCCGCATCCTGGCGGTTCTGCTCAGCCAGGGCCTCGTACTCGGCTCGCATGTTGCCCAGCAGCACCGTGAGGTCCACCCCGGGGGCGGCGTTCATCTCCACGTTCACGTTGCCTCCCGCGGCGCACTGCAGAGCCTGCATTTCCTGCGGGAGAGATTCGTTTAATCAGATCAGGATTTGACTATTATTTAATGAGCTGGACAGACAGCATCAGTATGGATAGAAGCATTTTGTAAGTTTTCTTTTGAGAGGGACAAATAGACACATTTCAAGAAATAATCTAAACCCTAGGGAGAAATCGCCACGCTTCTTGGTATTAAGATATTTATCATCTGAAATTAATTTTTAATTTGGGAGGGAGGCAGACTGAAAGTCAAGGAGGTACAGTGCCTACCTCCTCGTGATTCTTCTTGAGGTAGGCCAGCTCCTCCGTGAGAGTTTCCAGCTGGACCTCAAGGTCAGTTCTGCACAAGGTCAGCTCATCCAGCACTCGTCGCAAGCCATTGATGTCTGCCTCCACGCTCTGGTGAAGGGCCAGTTCGTTCTCAAACCTTACGGACATATTTGAAAAGTTCATTCTTAGTCATTAGACATTAGTCACGTCACTTTTTTAGATTTTCATGAAACCCAAACTAAGATTTGTGATAAAACTGTTAAAATAACATGTAAATTTTCATTTGGATCATCCACACTACAATATATATTTATTTATTTGAAGCAAGAGAGTGGAAATAGTCAAAAATCCTCTTTCCCTGTGACTTTGACATTCATTTGTGTTAGCCCCCCAATTTCCCAAGTGAGATGTGCTATTCTGCTAGCCACTCCAGTATGTATAAGCTTCAAAACAAATAATAAACAAAAGAAGAAAGCAGACCTTGCAAAACCTAAAAAAGAGGGGGTGTTTCTTAAGAGAACTTTTTGTGTGTTTCTCTTTAGCTCTACTTACTTCAGTCTGAAGTCATCAGCAGTTAGTCTCGCGTTATCATTTTGCAGGATAACATTGGCATTACTTGTAGTTGCAGCAATTATCTGTTAAATGGAGAGTTAGTTAAGAGTGAGGAAATATTTTTTTAAAAAATCAAATTTCTTTGAATAAGGTTCCCTATGAAATTATGGTAGTATTTATGGCAATATTAATGGCACCTGTATCTAATAATAAGGTAATTGTTTTGCATGTGGGAAATTGAAGTATGTTCTCTTTTATTCCCCATTCTATCCTAAAAAAAAAAAAAAAAAAAAAACTCTTTCAAAGGGAAAGATTATAAATACAAAGTTGGAGACACTCACTGGCCAGATTTTGATATTTTAATATTACTAAAAACATACATGCATACCTAAAACCAGATGATGGTTGGGCCATGATCAAAGGTCAGAATTTTAATAGAAATTATTTTAATCTTGATAAGGAACTACCAAAATTTAGAAGCTGAGCTCATGTCAAAGTCCTGTCCTGACAGCTTACACACCTGTGTGTAAATGTGTGGCTAATTACTCTCATGAATTTTAACACCCATAACATGATGTTTCTTACCTGGTTCCTAAGGTCATCGATTATTGGAAAGTATCTGCTGTAATCATGATCAAGACCTCGGCAAGAACCAGGTCCAAATTTCTCATACCACCCCTTGATCTTCTGTTCCAGGTCAGCGTTGGCCTCCTCTAGTGCTCGAACATTCTCCAGGTAGGAAGCCAAGCGGTCATTGAGATTCTGCATGGTCACCTTCTCATTGCCAGAGAGGAGGCCATTTTCGTTCCTGGTGAAGGTAGCGCAAGAAGCACTTCCCCCGCCCAGCACTCCACCATAGCCTCCTGCCGCTGAGCTGCCCCCAAAGGCACAAGAGAAGCCACTTCCAATGCCTGGCACACCGAATGCATTTCCGGCCCCAAAGCTGGCTTCCCCACCAGAGAGCCTCACGGAGCCTGCACCCCCACAGGAGCCCAGCCGTCTGGATGAGGAAGAAAAGCGCACAGACATGATGCCCACGCTGGAGGGTTGCTCTAATGGCGAGACTGTCCTACTCAGTTCATTTTGCTTTATATACACACCATCAGGGTGTTTCTTGATGAACTTTGCTACTCATAGCAAAATGGTGTTTGCCAGCTCATTGTGAATTATCCATAATTGGGTGATGTTTTTTAATGAACGTCTTTACCCGACTGTGTCCATTTCCGTAGGTGGATAGTTAGTACCTTGAGGTTATTTGTTATCTCTGGAATGGGGCAGGGTGGAGTATTATCAAGGTTATTAAAGGGATACTTTTCCAATTTAGTCTGAGTAAACCCTTCCTGTCTTCCATGTTTTAGGAATATAAAATTCCTGAATGAATAAAACAGTGTGATAGACCAATTTCTCTTTCCCTTCCCAAACCAACAACATTGCATTTTCTCCAGAAGGCAAAGCATCGTAGTCATTCATGGCTTTCTATCAGATATGTTGAAAATAATGTCAAGACCATGGACCCATGAGAGGGAGAAGGCCAGGTCCTCAGAGAAAACTGAGGAACTAAATGGGATCTTCTTTGGAGACAGAAAGTCTTTCCTTGATCCTTATCACTCTGAATTACCATTTCGTCTCCACTGGCTTTCTGTCTAAGCTCCGTTGCTAATCAGGTTGAGTAAGGGGATTGGGTAACCTGTCTTCGACTCAGCTTCCCCAGCTGTAAAAGAAGGGACTGTATGTTAGCTTCTATACTCCATTCTCATCTCTAGATTTTTCATATTGCTACATTTTTTTCTTTCACTTTTTCTAGAATACTTTTCTGCAGATTCTTTCTTCCTCTTTACTTCCTACTGTTTCCTGATTTTGCTCCCCACTACTTTAGAGAGTTAGTGGGATTAAGATCACTGATCACTGCACATAGCTGGTCCACTCACTGTTCCTTATAGTGATTCTCCTGCAGCCTTTTGGTTGATTGAGCTTCAGACAGTTGCTTTCTGAGATTCTTCTACATCTCTGGTCGCTTCCATTCATAACTTCTGCGTCCTACATTTTGTCATTCCTTCCGGTTTGTTGGTTGGCGTGTAGAACTCTTCTTGAGGCAGCTCTTACCCCCGTGGCTGGCCATTCTTTATATTGCCACTCCCCTTACCTATCTCTTTGCCTCTCTGCATCTTCTTCTTTCCACCTGTTTTTTTCTTCTTAAAATTAAAAATTATTTGAGATCTTGCATTTTCCAAGAATGATTAACATCACGTCAGTTCTATAGACTGAAAATGAAGTTGCTAAAAATATAAAATTTCAAGACCTAATAAATAAGCTTGCAAAGAAAGCCAGAAAAAAATCCAATAAAAAAGAAATTACCTTATTAAGTATGACAACTTGTTGTATTACCTAAACTTATGACACCAAAGTATTATTTTTTTTTGCAGTTTGTAAGTTTATGATGTTAGATATGTGTCACTATTATCTTTATCTCAGTTTTTTTTTTTTAACCTTTATTTTATGTGGTGCTGCGGATTGAACTCAGGGCCTCACACATGCTAGGTGAGCGCTCTACTGCTAAGCCACAACCCCAACCTATTATCTCAGGTTTTAAGTAATAAAATATTTTTAAAAGAAAACATCCTGGCCTTTTAGGATTCCCAAAGTTACATTTCAAATAAAATACACATATGAAGAAATAAACCACATACAATTAATAAGAGCCAACACTACTGCCTGAAGACACAAAAGACCAACAAGAACGAAATTACAAGATGGTATATACAAAAAAGTGTGCTTCTAATATATATGAAATGAAAGAGGACTGGAGTCACTACCAATTAACAAGTGATTCTCAAAGAAGTTCAGCTCTATTTAAAAAAATAAAAATTTAATATCTAAAAAAATAAAAATTTAATATCTAAAATGGCTGATAGATTAAAAGAAAATAAGTGAACAGCAGAAAAGACAGAAGGATATTATTGTAAGTGTGTGTATGGGGACGGGGGAGAAGAGAGGTTAAGAGAAAGAGACTTTGAAAATTTATTTATTTATTTATTTTGCCATAAGGTGCCACTATAAGGGATGGAATACCCAGGACCTTGCACATGCTGGGCAAGTGCTATGCCACAGAATTACCCCCCCACCCCCTAGGGAGAAAAATGTTAAAGGTGCCAGAGAAAAATTAGAAATCATCAACAAAGGAAGTGTGATTAGATTTCAGAAGCTCCCCACAAGCAACATTGGAAATCAGAAACACTGAAATAATCTCTATAAAATACTGAGAAAATATATTTATTAAAATTGAATACCAACCCAAAGTATCTTTCACGAATTCTGGGAAATGGTAGCAATGGTGGCAGAGTTTTTGAAGCCCTACATGAAAATCCTGTAGAAGGATCATCTCCTCAAACCAAAGACCAGGTACAATATTTACAACAAATCTAGATGGCGGATGTGTTATCATGAACCTCTACATGTAAGCTGGTAGAACAAACTACCATCAACCACAAGACCTGCATATTATAAGCATTTCTAGGGACTCAGAAGGATTCCAGAGGCATCTGAAGAATCTGATTATGGGAGAATTCCAAAAAGCCAACTAAAAATTGTAGCAGGTGAATTTGAGAAGAACAGGGGGTGCAGGGAGAGTTCTGCTCACCCCTGATGAGTGAGAAGATTCTTCCAGGAGGTCAGAAGAAAGTGAAGCGGTCTAGGCTCGGTGAGTTCTCAAAAGGGATCAGTCACAGCTTCTCACCAGAGGAATAGTCCATGATAAGGAGAAAATGCTGGGAGAGGGATCCCACTGATCAAGATAGGATCCTAGAGAGGGAGGAGACAGAGGATCCAGGGACAAGTCGGGGGAGGGGAGATGGGAAGTTTCAGACATCAAGCCAACGTGGTTTTGAAATCTAGGTTTAAATAAGAAACAGGAGCTTCGGGAATTAGAAGGTTAGAAGACCTATTTGGAATTGTGACTCACTTTAGAAGTTAAGGAACATGAATTGCCTATAAAAATGAACAAAGGAGGGCTGAGACTGTAGCTCAGTGGGAGAGCACGTGCCTTGCACATGTGAGTCACTGGGTTCATTCCTCAGCACCACATAAAAATAAATAAAAGTATTGTGTCCATCTACAACTAAAAATATTTTAAAAAATGACAGGAGAAGGAGGGGGAAGGGGAAGAAAAAGGGCAGCAACGTAAATCTTAGAGGTGAGGAGACAAAATTTAGAAAAGAATTAGAAATAAAAGGAAAAAAAATCATTAAACTAAGTAAGATATAATCATAGGAAACGGGAAGTTTAGGGGAAGTGAGTCCCCAGAAGAAAAAAATCATATTCTGGAAATACACAATTTTAAATAAACTATCAGTAAATACTGTTTGATAGTATATTAGATACCATGTATTATCCCAAGGAAGTTATTTACAGGAAGTGGTAATTTACTTCCTTGCAAAGAGCTCCCACAAATTTTGGGTGTTTGTTAAAATAAGGAATGGCAGATTGTGATTGCCACTTTAACAACTAACTACCCCGGCACAGTGGTTCAATTGCCTCTCTTTCACACGGAGACCGATTTCTTGGAATTCCTGCCAGCTCAGAAACCCACTGTAGCAAAAAGCAGCATGCACCTTCAAGCACCAGAGAAAAATACAAAGTCATTAGGGAACACCCAGGGAACTCAGGGAGCCCTGGAATTCTGCAAAGCAAAATCATAGAACTGAAGGCCATGGTCAGTTCTCACACTCCTAGGAAGGAAGGGCAGATTTAAGACTACAGCTT